TAAGTGGAGCAGGGCCAGCAGGGGTAAGGCTGGAGGCTGGGCTGGGGTAACAAGGTGCAGGGTGCAGTCAGGGACATCAAGGTGTGGGGGTAAGTAGGGGATCCCTGGTATGGGGGCAGCACAGTGTAAAACCATAGCTGCAGCCAAGCAGAGTTGTTAACCCAAGTTGTTTTTGGTTTTTTTACTGACAATTTTCAGACTTTTTACTGATAACCACACCTTTTTACTATGGTTGGTGTTAAACCCCAAAATTCAAACTCAGCCCTTGCTACTGCTCTGCAGGGCCTGGCAGAAGGGTTTTATTTGCGTTATGTAACACTTACATTAGCAAAAACAAACAAACAAAAACTTTCATAGTCAGTAAAAGGTTTGCATATTGTCAGTAAAAAAAATAAATAAATCTTGGACTGCCAACCCTAGCGTCTCCCCTCACCACTTTTCATTAATGAACAGTGAGTCTGGACCATCACGTATTGGCACAATGTCATGGTACTAAGACAAAATGGTAGCATGACAAGATTGTGTGAGACTTGAAATTTCTTGAGGACTTTTCAGCTGTGGCATTTGTACCATGCAAAGCATATATGGCAACTGGGAGAGTGCTGTAAATTAGGGGATGGAGCTGAGACTCCTCTGCTTCTCTTTTAATTGCAAATACGTTGAAAAAATTCAGCAGCCCTTTCAAGGTCAATGACATTTAAGCCTGAGTACTAGAATGAGGATGAAATGATATTTTTGAATCAAAGTGATCAGAGTCAGTGCTGCTATTCTGCTTCTCTGACCAGTTCACTTCAAAACCCCGCCTGTTAGGCTGACCACATGTCATTGCTGAGCTCCACAAGGAGAGCAGGAAGCAGCATTTTGCCATTAGGCTCTAACTCAGTGCCCAGTGTAGTCCGTGGGAGTCTGTCCATTGACTTCAAAGGCCGTGGATTGGGCCTGAGCTCTTAATTAAGCATGACAACCAGCAATTGTGCATTGATCTAATTTGACTCTTGTATTCAGCTCCTCTGACTCGTCTCCTTTAAAGGCTTAAATCAGCATCAAAAGACATCTCGGTCCCTCTCTAAGAGCTATTTTAAGTCGTGCATTTTATAAACACACAGCAGTCATTTGTTACAATTAGTCTCTGTTTCTGCCTGGTCTTCAGCTGTTTGGTAAAGCGAGAAATCAATTTTTTTAGCTCCAGGAAGAACAGAAAAAGTCTGGGCCCTTCAACTAAAGAAAAGCCATTGTTTAAGAGAAAATGTCAGCCTCTTCCCATCCATGCTGGCAGACAGGCTGAGCTGTAGCCCCAGATGCATTACTGATCTTGTTCCCCAGGACTATCCATTATAGTTTAGGCTCTGAATTTCCCCATAGCAGCACAGTTGTCCAACAGTGCACGGATATCTTTAAAAGCTGGAAGAGGAACAAAGAACAGGTTAATGCTCATATTGCTGTCGAATCATCCTAAGTTGTGTAATATAAGCTTTTCCACACCAACGTGCAGGCTGCAACTGGTCACGGCTGCTGAAGGAGCCATAGGAGCAGCAGAAGGAAATTTTACGGGAAAATAAAACCAACTCAGTATGACCTGACTTCAGGGTTCAGTCATCATGAGTGAGCTCCCAGGGTCATGAGATGATGTTAAAAATTGCAGCAATCGTAAGTGTTGGGTTCCTTTAGTTTTCACCAGGTGAGGCTGCTCGGACCAGCCCGGAGCCTGGCCTTCTCTACCCCACCCAGGGTAACCTGCCATACGCCAGAGGGCACGTGGCACGGAGGTTCCCCGGGGACAAGTAGCAGTGGCATGCTTCTTATTCATGGAGAAACAAATGTCCACACTTGTGTGGACGCGGCCAATGAGACAACATTTGGTGCTACCTTTTTAACTTGTGCAGAAGGAAGCTCCTGGAGGTGGTGCCTGGGAGATTGGGTGCATCTCAGCCCCATAGTGCTGAGATCCATTGCTGAGCAGCCCCGATGCTACAAACAGACATTGAATTTGCTCCAGAATAAACTATTACATCCTGGGACAAAGTGCCATCATTCAGATGTCTTTGTCTGTTGTCCTGGGAGAACTCCTAAAAAGGTTCACAGGATAAGACTTGGGAAGCAAGCCTTATGAGAAAAGGCTGAAGGCGCTAGGGTTATATTTAGTCTGGAGAAAAGAAGACTGAGGGGGGGGATTTGATACTAGTCTTCAAAAACCTGAAGGGCGATGAATAGAGAGGATGGAGATTGGCTTTTCTCTGTGGCTGTAGGGGACAGGGCTAGGAGCAATGGCGTCAAGCTGCAGCAAAGGAAATTTTAGGTTGGAGATTAGGAGAAATTTTCTGAGTATGAGGGTGGCCAAGAAGAGGCTACCTTGAAGTTACGGACTCTCCATCTGTGGAATTTGCAAGAGCAGGTTGGACGGACACTTGGCTGGGATGGTGCAGTCAGGGATGATCCTGCCTTGAGCAGGAGGCTGGACCAGATGGCCTTGCGAGGTCCCTTCCAGCCCTTCTTTTCTACAATCCTATGATAAGAAGTACTAACAGTTTATCCCAGGACATTGCAAGGTGCATCTGAGCAGTTTTTCTGGAATTGCTTCATTGAACAATGGCATAAAAGAGCCAGTGCATTCATGCTTTCCCCTCTGAGCCAGACCTATTCCCTGGGTCTGGCTGGGTGGGGAAAGGGGGGAGACCACATTGCCCCTTGTCCTGCACCATCCAGGGCAAGACGAGGTGCTATGTGTGTTTTTTGCAGCGAAGCGGATCAGCTGCGCCATGATGCATTGCACCACAGCTCATCCGCTTTATTCGGCAATGTCTGTTTCTATCCTGAGTCCCTCTCCTGACATGAAGTCCTTAATAGACTTTACACCACTGGGGATGAGACTAGAAGAGCAAAACTCTATCCCACCCTGACACATCCGCTCCTATGTTGAGCGGGGAACGGTGGCTGCAAAGTCCCACTTGGGTCACAGTGATAACATCCAACAGCAAATCCCACTGCAAGGGAGTTTTGGGACTGGATATTGGCTCCTTCGCCTGCACAGGGCTGCAGATGGTTGACCGAATCTGTATCATGAGCTCTGCTTTATCACAGTTAAAAATAATGTCTCAGTGGTAGACTGCTTGTCAGCTGTTTGCAATTCAGCTCTAAGCCATGATTCTTGCTATTCCTCTCTAAGCAAGGGCCTGTGTTTTAACTTTCTTGTGGAGTCTCCCATTAGAAGTACAATGGGACAAGTTTTATCAGAAGGCTTTTCAAGCCATGCATCAACAGTTTGGAGAGTCCTGATCAAAGAGCGCAGGTCTCAATCTGTGTAAGCTGGTCCTGAACGCCTGCCCTCCGTCTTGTCCTGTGTGTCTGTCTTACTGGATGTGGGAGTCCTTTGGAGAAAGAAATGTGCCTTGGTCTCTGTATGTAATGAACCACATAAATGATTTGTGCTATATAGATATATATATCTCTATATAGATAGATATGTCTATCCAGATACATTATATTTCAATATCTATCTATCTAGAGAGAGATCTATATAGCTATAGATATGTCTATCTATATAGATATCTATATCCAGATAGGTTATATTTAGATAGATATCTATATCTAGATAGATATAGAGGTATCTAGATAGAGGTATATCTATAGATATAGATCTATAGATATACCTATAGATATAGATGGATATTTATATCTATATTTATCTATATAGCACAGATAATTTATCTAGATATAGATATCTGTAGATAGATAGATAGATATGTTATACAACACCAACTCCGGAGACAGATTTTCATGGCCTGTGGGGGTGATATCGTCCTGAGTAATTTTTTTTTTCTCTGCCGCCTCGTTTCCATTCATTATTGTATCTGAAACCTGAACTCTTTCTGCAAACATGGTGATAGCACTGGCTTTGACCCTGCAACTGCTTCAAAATTGGCTGACAACAGAGTCATTGAAAAGGACTAAGAGAGGTTTTCTTTTTATTGGTCTTAATCATCATTTCTTTCCCATTAACTAGAGACAGATAATCTCTTCCAGGCACTGGAAAGAACATGCTGTAGAGCAGCATTTCTCAACCCCGGGGGTTGCAAGAATATATGAAATGGCCGCAGACAAACTTTAGAAATGGATTCTTCTTTAAAGGAGAAAAATGTAGGAAACCAGGGTTTTCCCTTGCAAGCTGGCAGAGGGGTTACTTGGGACCCCCCGGCCCTGCACGCACCCACTCCCTGCCCCACGCACTGGGGGGCAGGGGGCAGTGGGGTGGGAGTGAGGGGCACTGGGTCAGGACTGACCCTCAATGTTTTCAAATGGGTCCTGGTACAAAAAAAGATAGAGAACAGTTGTAGAGAACAGCCCTGCCCTGGCAGGAGGATGCACTGAACAACCTTTTTCCAGCTCAAGTTTCTCTGCTCTTCTCTTAAGGTAGAAATAACGAAAAAAAAAAACACAACACTTTAAAAAAAGCAGCTTTGTACTAATGCTCTGCTTTAAAAAAAAAAAAAAAAAAAAAGGGTCAGGCTCCTGAGATCTTTCTCCCAGCATTGGCTGTGGTAGTGCAGAGTCTGGTGTGCAAGGAAAATGGTGTATCGCTGGGGGTAATAAATACATGGTAATTTCTGTATGCCCAGGAGACATCTGAAAGCCGACCTTATGCAAACAGTGGATCTGAGACCCATGCTGGGAGTCGGACTATATCGGCAGAATCGGCCCCGTTGTACAGCTATTGGGAACATAAGAAGTGCCATACTGGGGTTATGAAGAGGAGGGTGTATGACCCGACTGCCGTTTTGGGTGCCTGTCTGGGGTTTGGAGGGTGCACATGTTATAGTTGTGATGCCTCTCACCAGAAATGAATGCCAGTAGCTTTTGCAGCCAGAAATGCCATTGGGAGAGTTAATTCTCTGCAGTTACTTCTGCAAAGGAGCTCAGCATTAAGCAGAGAGCAGCCTAGAAGCACTCGCAGACTTTGCCCTCATAAGAAGCCGCTAATGTGCCCGTTTCCCTTGTGTCCCCAGGTCGGATTCGTACGAGGAGGCAAAGCTCCGGAAGTGCCACGAGCGTCACCTCAACGCCTGCCGACACCCGAGGCCGCAGCCGAGCTAAAGTGGTTTCTCAGTCCCAGCGTAAGGAGCTTTCTGTTTGCTGGGGGTGGGCGTCCAGAGGGGCGGTCTTCTCATTACCTTTCCACTCGTATCATGGTCGTTTCTGAAGGCCACGGTAAGCACTTGGGCTTTGTCATGCTGCACGCGTGTAGAAGAAAAAGGTGGTTCCTCCTTGAAGCAGCTTCAGTCTAAGTTGGCACGGACAAACGGGGCCCAACATTTGACTAATGAGGCAAACTAGAAATTGCTCATTCCTTCCTTGTTGCACAGGATGATTGACCAATTCCTGGTGTCTACGTTTGTACATTAGGGTAAATAATAAATGTTGGACTTAAATTTAAGCGAGCCACTCCTGATTGAGACCCTTTCTGTACATCTGCACCCTGCTACTGCCTCTTGGGTTCTTGCTCTCCTCTCGCTGACACGATCATTTCTCCACATCTGTTTAAACGTGAGCTGTGTAAGTTAATGTGCGAAATAGTGGTCTGAAATGAGACGCTGTCTCTCCTGCATAGACTACAGGCAGGGAGAGAGAGATCTGATGTTAGATCCTTGTCTTCGAAGTTCTGGTTTCCTCTCGTGGCACGTCTTCGGGATGTGTCGGGAGAGCAAAATACCTGCCACGTGCTTGGGAAAGGGGAGTTTTGTCCTGAGGTTCAAGGATGTTTAAAGGGCCACGCACATCAGATACGTTCCTCTCCGGGAAGGGAAGAGGCTCTTCATAACCAGAGGACTCGTGTATTTGTCTGGGAGGGTGGGGATTGGAAGGTGAGGCACCTGTTTTGTTGTGAGGGCTTGTCCTGCTTCGTAGCTTCATTGAACAACGTCTGCTCTGTCCGTGCTGTCGCTGCTTCCCTGTACGTCAGACTGGCGGGGTAGGAGGCAAGGAACGCCCCCAGGTTCAAGGGAGGCAAGAAACCAAACCAAGAAACCTTCTTGCAGACTTTCATCCCAAGTGGTTCTGGACCCAAACCTGATCCAAAACCAAAAGTGGCCTTTTTCCTGATCCTAGTTCAGACAAACCTGAAACACTTAGACACATTCTAGGTCAAGATGATGGAAATCTCATGAAAACAGATTTGTGGGGCTGCAGAGGAATCCAACCTGAACCTGATACCTAGACCTATTTGGTATCAAATGCTAGCCCCAGCCTAACCCGTTCAGATCTGAACATCGGCTCTGGGGCCAAGCGCCACATGAAATAAATTGGGCTGAAGCAGCAAGCATAGCACAGACATGAGGTCAAATCTTCCTGTGACTTGCACACTGGGCAGCCCTGCTGAATTTTGCAGACTAGCCCATGGTGTGAGTTAGAGCAGCATTTAGCCCACCATCGATGGCTGGCTCTGCTCAAGGACATTGGTGAAGCCAGGGAGATTCAGGGTTAGTGGAGAACACTTGCAAGCTAGGCCCGCTTGCTGCTCTGCACTTCTACCCGCTGCATTTCACAGAGGCTCAGGAGTGACACGTGCTTGTGAATAAATCCGTTTGCCTTGTGTATAGTGTATTTTGCATGCTGAACTCTGTATTGTCTTACTGTCTTTTAATCCACTTTTTGCCTGTCCTTTTGTCTGCCCTCATAAACAAGGATCCAGATCAGCTAATCCTGCTGGTGGTAAGAAACATTTTCCCTTTCTCGCTCTCTCTCACATGCTTTCTCTTTTGCATTTTTTTTTCAACTATTGTAACTGCTGTTGCAACATCACACCCTCTGATTCACTGTTAGAGTACTAAAAGACTTATTTGTAAACTCACTTAAGATATATGTGTATTGTGATTAAATTAACTCGTCCATGGTGTACGTGCATTCTGGGCAATGAGGGTAAGGAGGTCCTGTAGGGACTGGGAGGAAGAGCCTGTGAGTGAAACCCCAGATGCCAAATTCTGCTCCTGCTTATTCCAGTGCAAGCCCTTTTGGCTTGGCATTGCAGCAGGGTAACCAGCAGGAGGATTTGTGTTGCTTTAGCATAAAAGCTGGGCATATGATTGACATCAGTCAGAAACACTCCAAGCTTTCTAGTGCTGTCTGCCTGGGTGAGGCGTGGGGGATGATAGCTACAGTATTTGCGTGTCATCGTTGAAATAAAAGGGCAGGTAAGCCTGATTTAGTCAAGCCAATTGAGACATTTTCTACCAAACTTATAATGTTATACAACAGGGACGGGCATTTATTTGGGCCCAAGGGCCACACGGGCAGTTTGGGGAGCTGTTGTGAGCCAGCTAGCACCCCCCGCCCTCCTTATTGCAACAGCCTGGAGCCCGCGTACCCTGAGGCTCCTCACTGCCACCAGTGCCCAGCAGCCACCCTGGCCCACTCTGGACCTGCCCCAGACTCACCCCAGCTGGAATGGACCAGCTCTGTACCAGCCAGGACCCACATGCACAGCCCCAACCCCATCCTGCCCCATACCTGCTCTAGACCTGCTCGCCCATGGTGAGCAGCAGAGGTGGCCAGGCAGAGGCTGCTGCTGGGTACGGGGGGGAATAGTGGCCCCTGCCCTTTGCTGCTGCCAGTCCCTTCTTGATGAAGCCACCTGGAGCCCGCGCGCAGGCTGCCCTACAGCTTCTCTCCACTGCCCCATTGGGCGGCCTGGAGGCAGCACTGGCGGTGCTAGAAACGGCGGTGGAGAGGAACCGCAGGGCAGCACGATTGCAGACTCCAGGCGGCTGCAGCAAGAAGGGCCCGGTAGCGGCGAGAGGGAGGGGCTGCATTTCTCCTGCACCCATGCAGTAACTTCTGCGTGGCCACCACCGCCATTCATTGGGGGTGGCCGGATTTGGAGCAGGGGCAGGGCAGGCCAGGGTCAGGGCTGTGCACATGCATCCTGGCTGGTCCAGAGCTGGACTGCTCTGATCGAGGTGGGTCAGGCCAGGGCTGGGGCTGTGCATGCAGGTCCCTGCCAATCTCCCTGGGGCCAGGGCTGGCTGTGGCAGCGGCAGTCGGAAGGAGCTGCTGCCGCCTGGGCTGACTAGAAATGGAGTCCAGCCGCGGAGCTGTCCCAGCCCTGCTGCACTCCCAGGGGCAACAGGATGCACCCCGGGCCAGACGGCCCTTGGGCCAGGTGGGACCGAGGGACCTGCCATGGGCCAGGCAAATTCCCTTTGTGGGCTGGATCCGGCCCGTGGGCCAGATTTTGCCCACCCCTGTTAATACAAAGTCTTGGATCAGTTTTTTTCTACTGACTGTCTCATGTATTCCTGCTTTATATGTCAGCTGTGTTTGGGTGGAAAATTAAGAGAGAAACTCCTAAGGAAAAAGATGGGCATTTGTTCAAAACGTTAAATTTGTTTAACTCCGTGTGCAGTCCTCCCTGCGTTTGTTTTTTTTGTATATTTTAGATGACAAGGTTAGTGTCAGGAGCACTCACAACAGTAGCAGATTCTCAGTGTGACCGGCAGTGGCCACTTCTGTACGTCAAGAGAGGCAAAAAAGGGCCTCCGGTCCAGTTCTTTTGAAATTCTTTGAGTTTCCCTTTAAACAAATATTGCAGAATTTTTTCAGGTAAAGCAAACTTTGAATTTGGAAATCAGAATAGTCCCATCCAAATCCAGGTTGTAACTCTTCTCCACACGGGCAACAGAAAGGTTCCAGGGGACTCGTGTCCCATCACCTCGCAGATTTGTAAGTCTTGGTCACGACAAAGAGGAATCTAGAAAAGTGTGTGCTTTTTCTGGGCAATTCAGTAGGACACTAAAAGGGCAAAATTAACCTAATATACGTTTCAAAGGGTTCACCTGTCTGCAAAATTGATGAAGGGCGTTAGTTTTACTTCATCCAGCACATGCACAAAGGAAATGCTCATGATGAACAAACGGGATGGACATGTCTATAGGACTGTTCGTGACTGGATCATTCAGTCGGCCACCTTATATTGGAGAAAGTGGTTCTTAGTCGCCACCCCCTCTGATCACTATGCAAAAGTACATCTACATTGGAGCCCACAGGACAACATATAGATAGATGCCTGAGTTAGCTTTCAAGCAAATAACTTGGGCAAAACAGAGAAAAGTTGGGTAAACTAGCCCACATGCTAGACAGCTCCTGGTGCCCATTGACAGCTAGCTGTGGTATCTCCATACTCCACTAAAGTCTGCTGTGTAGACTAGAGACCCTAAGAAGCAAATCAGACTTCCTGAATAAAACAAGCTCAGCTGGTGATATCTGTGCATTATTGAGCTTGTGGAAAAAGCTCTTTGGGAATTGATCCAAATCCCGTTGAAGCTCATGGAGATTCCATCACCTCCCATGGTGGAGGGCTTTTTTAATCCGGGCCTTGTTTTAAAAGCATTCAAAATCTCCATGCTGAATGGTCTGCTTCCCTATTTCTGGTTCCTTCCTAGCTGGCAGCCGCTCCAGTTCTCCTGGCAAGCTCTTGGGAAGCACCTACGGTGGATTGACCAGCGGAGCATCCAGAGTCCCACCAGTGCCATCGTCTGCAGAAAAGCGCAGCAAGATCCCTCGAAGCCAAGGATGCAGCCGAGAGACGAGCCCCAACAGAATAGGACTAGGTAAGACCTTTCACCAAGGTGTCGCATCAGGCCGTGTTCCCGGGGGAAGGCTGTTCACGTTAACGAGGAAAGCAGAGGACTGGGTTCTCCTATCCCAGGGTTTTCGGTTCTTCAGCTGTGGAATTGCTGTCAACTTGAGAAATATTATTAACAATTGCAACTTTAGGAAAGTCTGCTTTTTTTCTGTGCTGGCCTGTGGTTTCAAAGCAAGTCAAAAGAGTAGATGGTAGCTCCTGTTTGAAATCGCTGCCTCTACTTGGCTGCTTCTGGATCAGGGAAAAGAAAGCGGAAAAGCCCACCACTGCAGGAATAGTACGTCACACTCGTCCCACCGCCCATTCCCATGAAAAGCCGAGGAATTCCCGTGATGTGCTTAATGCCCTCAGCTCTGACTGAGGCCGGGGGAATATGACGGTCCTCAGCACCTTGCAGGATTGGGAACGTGTTTTGGAAACTTTGCAGACATCTGAGCCCCTGATTAAATCACATCCTAGATTCACAAGCTAATTATTTTGCTCCCGCATATTTGTGCCTGTTGGGTAAATACCACATACAGATTTTTGTTTCCCAGTTTGCTGCAATTTCTCTAATGCTGCTTCAATCAGTGGAACGAGTGTGCTTTCCCAGATGCTCGCAAACACATCTGTTCTTCTGAGTGAAAGCAGAAATGATTCTCTCTTCCTCTCTCTTCCTTTCGGTGGACAGGCAAAAACTATATTTAACTTTGAGACAAAAAGTAAATGTTTTCAGATGTTAACTGTAGTTTCCATAGGAAAGGAACTCCTTGGAAATGTATTATTTTTTAAATTAATGAATAGCGCTTAGAGGAATTTGCATATGCATAAACAAATTGGATAAAATTCTAGTCCCTAACGAATGGGAGCTATTGCCATTCACTTACGTGGGCTAGTATTTTATCTGTTATATTATAAATTAAGTCTCCAGTTTAGCTTACATTATGTCAGATGACAATCAAAGCACCTTTTAATTTCCATATTTAGTTGAAAAGAGCTTGGAAGAGCCCTGTAAGCATATACTGAGTTTCATGCTATATTGGTTATTGACAGTATTTTGCAGATTTCAAATTTCTTCTCCTCTGGCCTTGCCTATTTTAATTACCTATATATGACTATATTGTGCTCTTCTATTTGTTGTTCTCAAAATCTAAGCTGCCACCTACCTATTGGAATTAATTAGCCAGCTGTTGCTTGGCAAGCTAGCATCGTCCTTGAAAATGAAATGAAGCGTGATGCATGGTGCTGTCATGTTCGTGGGTCTATGCCGGATAATCGCATTACATGGACTGATTTGAAGGTGTCTTAATATCGGAAAGGAATTTATTTTACATAAATCCTCACTCTTGGGTTGTCTGCTTTCAGGTAAATTATGGAGAATTCCTATGAACATGTCATTTCTATCCCACCACCGTAATGACACAAATACCAGGGCTTGTTCCTGGGGGATGGGTGAACCCTGTCAAATCTGTCAGTCTGTTTTTTCTTCCAGGATTGCTGACTTTTGAGCAGTCGTTCAAATTGGGGTGGTTTTGATCTTGTGCGTTAGTTTAATACCCAAAGGCAGAAATTCTGCGTCTTTATTGGACCTGAAAACTTGGGCAGCATATAAAGTGATAACATTTGCCTGGATGGAACTATGTTTGGAAAGCCACGCTTCCTAGTTCCTGAAGTCGTCTGGCCAATGCTTTTCCAGCAATTTAATTTCCCTGTCATTTGGCTGTTAAAATGATTTTTATAATTTACTTTGTATTGAGAGCTTTGATTTCTTCCTCTCCATCATTCATGTGGCTGTCCTCTTCATTCAGTCATCCCCGTCCATCCATACTTCCTAAGTTGATCGATACACCTTCTCCGAATCCGATTTTTCCAGGTCCATGAGCTCCTCTATAGTGCTAAGCACAACGGCGGCTGCGTGGCTCCAGTGGGACTGTTACGTTGCATCCATACCTGCAGCACTGAATAGGAGCCTTAGCCCTGAGGATGCTGTCAGCTAGTGGCAATTGGCTTGATTTTTAAGTGTGTGAAGCTCTTGCAGTCCTGGGAGTGTTGGTCGTCAGGACTCTGGGGTTTGATGTGTGGCTCAGCCACCGACTCATGAGTGAGCAATTTTAGGCCAGGTTTCGATGAGCCTTTGCTCTGTCTCTGTCTTTGCAAAAGGGGCTCGCTTGCTCTGAGGCCAGGGATAAGGCAAAGCTAATTGTGCCCTATAGCCCACCTCCCAGAGAGGGCACAGAATCAGCCATCGCCTTCCCAGGGCTTTGCCCTTTTCTTCCCACCTCGGGTGTGTCACAAGGCATGTTCCTCCTATTCGCTGGAAAACTGTGGCTGGCATCCTGCCTCTTGCAGCTACAGTGCTTCCTGGAGGTCCCTCTGTGCCACCCATGGCTGGAAGGACCATTCCAGTTGCAAAGTTGCCCTTAGCACTTACCCCATGAATACATACCCTCTCGGGTATGATTCATGTCTAGAAATGACTTTGCGATCCCCGGGTGGCAGTTGCTATAAAATGGAAGTGCAAAGCCAGTTCTAGAGCAGAGGACTGGGCTTGCCTGCACTTCTGCAGAGCATTTGCATCCTGGTTAGCACGATGCTGATGGAGCAGGGGCTGGGGCAGTAAATACGCTCTAGGCAACGACTGCCCCAAAACAGAGCATAGGATCGGCCTGCATTCATACCCGCTCATGATGATTTGGGAGCTGAGAAGCCAAATCCACATGTGCCACTCAGACTGTAGATATTCAAGGGTGCACCGTTCTCCTCCAGGGCTGGCAAAGGCTGTCATTGGCAGCGTAGTGTCCTAATACAATGTAGTGTCTTCCCAGGGGTTAGCAAGGGCCCTGCAGTTAAAGATTCAGCCCACATGCACTTGCTGCAAAGTACCAAGCGGTTTCTGACTTGGGCTGTGGCTGCAGCCCCTTTGCTGGAGCATTACATGCTGGTTCTTCGGCTGAGCCAACAGGGCACCGTGGATCTCACCCTGGGCTCTTAACCTCAGCTCAGTGTGCCTTATCTAAGCCTCGAGCATCTTCCCTATATCAGATGGCACAGAAGCAAATGAGATCACCTCCTACTTGGGGGGTTGATGCGAGTGAAGCCATTGGCTCCTGCAGCGCTGGTTGCCTGAGTAAAGCAATCTGGGCTTGACTCGGTATCGCCATATAACCTTATAAATAGCTGAGCAAGCAGCAGCCATCTCATTAAACCTGTTTAGATGAAAATGGTAAGATTTCAATGTGGAGACTGTCCCTTGAATGTCACCTTTTGCATTTTACGGAGGGCAGTCAAGATCAGGTGAGCTGCTTGTGGTCCAGAGCTGGTTGTCGGCACACGGGTGCCAGAAGGTGACTTTGTTTGTAATGCTTAATTTTAAGGCGCCCAGAGTCAAAACAGCATATTCCCGCATCCATCTCTCTCTGCACCTGCCCTGTTGGTTCATCTTTTCTCATTTTACTAGACCAGGCAGCTTTTGTGTCCAACTGACTCACTTTTGTGGCCTGTGCTTTATGGGGAGGGCTCCTGCAGCTGAATCTGCTGGCGCTCATGATTTTCTTGCATCCCGTGCACTGAAAGCAAGCTGAGGGATCGTTGTGGGGTCTGGATAAGATGACTTCCTCCAGCACAGACTCCCTTCCATGTCATAGCAAACCTTTAAAATACAGCGTGGCAAAAAAGGCACCTCCCTAAACAGCTGGTGTCCTTACTGCGAACATTATCCCTCTTCAAAGCAGGAGAAACCTCAGGACAGATGCCTGGGAGTTAACGATACTTTCGAGGGATCGTTCCATCCATGGCACTCCTTTCTCTTTCCATTGTGTTCATACATCTGTTCAGCCTGTCCATACCTTCCACTCATATGACACCCATTAAAAAGTTGGAATCGTTTTTGTCTTGTTGCTTGGATATTTGCTTGTGACTGGTTTGTGGCATCCCATCTCGGTACTCTTACTTCTATTCACACTATCCACAAGTACATGCCTTCTTGCTATATGCTGGCTCTTTAATCTGTTAATGAGAGGGGACTGTGTTGTTTCATTCATGTCTGCCCCTCTTTCGAGACCTAAAATGGTCTCTTTCAGGACAGAGACTGACAGATGAAAGATGCTTTTCATGAAAGTGCTAGTGGGGAATGAGAGCCCGTGCAAACCTCATCCATTTACGTGTAAGCGCGTGACCCAAGAGTGAGCACTTTCACTTTTAGAGAACCCACTGATCCAAGTAAGTATTTTTTGCTTATAGATTAAACTCGGGAGGTTTTCTTCTTAGGGTCCTGTTGCTGCTGTTTGCCTTTCTTGAGCTGAGACTACTGTATTTTTGAACCTTAATTTCATTAACCCCATGATAGTCCTGCTCATTATAACAACGCCTCTCTCCCCGGCTCAGAACTTATGCGGTTTCTGGGCCGGGTGCTGTTGTAACCAAGTCCATCAGTGGATCATGTTGTATTGTTCACCATCAAAGCTCAGAATCAGAACCATTAATTCATCAAACAGATTCGTCAAGGCAGATTTTGCCAAACGGGGAGGGATTTCAGAACCGGGGATCTGGCAGTAGCTTATATCTGCATTTCTTACTCAAAATGTGAGGATCCTATTTAGTCCTTTAATACCTCAGAGGATGCTGTGAACGGTGACAGATGTGGCCTTTATCTGAGCATTTAGATATAGGTGATTGACTGATGTGGACCATCTTATTTCAAAGGAAAAAAATAAAAAACAACCCCTAAAAACTGGTCTGCTAACCTATTTATGATTGCAAGCCATGATGCCCCTACAGAAACATTTCTCAAAGACTCGATGTTTCTATTACCAATGCTGCACTGATGTTACACTGGGGAGCACACACTTTGCACCTTGAAGAGAATTCACACTGGGCCGTGAAAAGAGCAGTAATTCTGCTGCAAGGGGAGGACAGAGCAGGGGACGACACTGCGGTGTCTGCATCTCTGCACCCTTGTAATCCGCACAAAAGCCGGTGACTCTGATT